CCCGGCCCTCCCCGTGCCCCTTGTCCAGGGAACGGTGCCATGGGGAGGGGGGGCCCCTGCATACCTTTGCCACAGCATATCCTCGCTGGTGCTGGCCTCAGTGACGTGGGAATGGGTCCTCCAACATGGCATCCCCCTCCCGTTACGAGCCCTCTCCCGCACCGGTGGGGTCTGATGAGCTGCACCAGGGACAATCAGCCCCCAGGTGGGGGGTCTGGTGCCCAGGTCCTCACTGCATCCCCCTCCCCACAGGCTGTGAAGCGTTTCCTGAAGCTGGAGTGCAAATGCCACGGGGTCAGCGGCTCCTGCACACTAAGGACTTGTTGGCTGGCGATGTCAGATTTTCGAAAAACGGGGGATTACCTGAGGAAGAAATACAACGGGGCCATCCAGGTGACGATGAACCAGGACGGCACCGGCTTCACGGTGGCCAACAAGAACTTCAGGAAGCCCACGAAAACAGATCTGGTGTATTTTGAGAACTCGCCCGATTACTGCGTGATGGACAAATCAGCAGGTAAATACCAAAGCTCCAGTCGCTCTCCCTCCCCCTGACCGGCTCTGGCCCAGCCTGGCAGGGCGGCTCTGGGACATCAGGTCCCCCAGGGAACCCCAGCCCCTGGTGGGGGGCACCCAGGCCCGCGGGGTCCCCACAGCACCTCCCGCCTGTGCAGAGAGAACCGGGCTTTCCCAAAAGCCCCAGGCTTCACACCAAAGATCCAAACCTGGGTCACCAAAGGTGCATCCTGAGGTCTGTGTAGCAGATGGTGGGGAGCAGCGGTACGATTCGGGTCACGACTGCGGGGTGTGGGGTAGGGAAGCATTTGAACAAAACGGAGAAGGAACCGGCTGACGCGCTCTCGCTTCCTTCCGCAGGCTCCCTGGGCACGGCCGGTCGCGTGTGCAACAAGATGTCCCGCGGGACGGACGGCTGCGAGGTGATGTGCTGCGGGCGCGGGTACGACACCACGCGCGTCACGCGCGTCACCAAGTGCGAGTGCAAGTTCCACTGGTGCTGCGCTGTGCGCTGCAAGGAGTGCGAGGACACTGTGGACGTGCACACCTGTAAAGCACCGAAACGGGCCGAGTGGTTGGACCAGACCTGAGGAACGGGAGCACAGAGGGAGGAATCCACTGCCGCCACCCTCCCCTCGCAACTTTTTTTAAACCCCTATGCCCGGAGGGCCATGATGTTCTGGGAGCTGTAGTTCAGCTGCATGGCTTTTATTTAATTAACTCTGCAAAGCACTAAAGAAAGGACTACGTTTCCCAGGAGGTACTGTGGACCCTTCTATTTGCTCAGCAAAACTAATCCCCTACCTAGGAGGAGTCTGCAATCCCTGCTTCAACTGTGAAAGTGCCGTTGCCCGGTGTTCTCTCCGCAAAGGGATGGTGCAACTGATACGGACTTGGAGGACGAAGGGTGGGGATGCCACGCACCTCCCCAGAGAATTTATGCTGCCGTAAAAATTTCACCAGCGAAAAACACTAGTTCAGAATAATCCACTCCTGCAGAAAGCGCTCTCGCTTTTGCTTTTTTTTTTGCAAGGCCAGAGGAAGGGCATTGCGAGTCGCTAAGACGGCTCCGGGCTCCCTGAGCTGCCCCGGCACACCCCACGGCCGACTCGCTGGACCAGAGTAGCCTCTGCGCGAGGCTTCTCCCCAGCGAAGGTGACAAGCGGAGCTGTACACTGGGACTGGAACCCACGCAACTGCACGAGGGCAAGGGCCACCCCCAGATGCTGGCAGACGCAGCGGGCTAGAGAGAGCAAACAAAACCTGTGAACTTACTGGTAGGTTCTGAAGTCGCCTGATACAGCAGCGTCTCGGTAAAACTCACTTGTATGTTGTGTATACTGCTTATTATTTTAAGTCAAAATTCATTATAAACCTATATCAGAAAATGATGTTCTTTGCTTTTTGAATTCCTACACACCCAGTGGGACACCTGCCCCAGGGCAGCGTCTCTACCTGCGTGGCTGCAGCTCCTGTGGCCCCAAGGCACAGACCTCCCCTCCCCGGGCGTTACCCCTGTTTCCCAAAAGCGGGTCCGTGGCAC